TTCATATTGTCGATACTTTTCTTTATCTGAGGTAGTCCGCCAATACCAACTATTTGGTGAACAAAACCACAGAGGGGCTGTGACAACTTGAAAACTAAAAGAAACCGTCTCTGGGAGATGACATAACAATCTGAGTTTGACATAGAACCTCTACCGCTAACAGTGTAAACACTTGTGTATATCTGTGTTTAGTAGTAATTAGCACTTAACCTCCAGAAAGCCATACATTTTTATAAATACTTCTATTTCTACAATATCTCTGTCAACCAAATAGAAATAATTTGTTTAGTACATTATTTTATTTATAGTATTATTTCTTATTCTTACTTTTATGCCACACACTATTTTTCATGCTATGATTTTGTTCCCGTCCTTTACATGATTCGATTAATTTACCAAGAAAACAACTGACAGACGTGATTACTCTCATATCATCATATTTGTTTATCGATTTTTGCAACCAGTCACTTTTGGGAAAAAAAAACGTCTGAATCACATGGTTTTGTGAGCTCGATATATACTCCTGAGCCTGTGGTGGTGAAAAGGCCGAATAAAAAAGCCTTTACTGGTGGTGATGGTGGCGACTCGTGATTAAAAAACAGGAAGGTTGGGCGACGGGACAAATAAGTTACATAACTTACCAAGCTTGACGTATCAGAACAGAGTTAAGTGTCACCATTCCGATGTAGATCATTCACTTGAAGCGTCAGCCCTGCATGATCCTTGCCGAATAGGATCCAGTGAGTAGGGTGGAAAGACCGGTGTGACGCGGTCTGATTATTTATCTTGATATCACATATTGACCATACAAAATTGGGGCATACTGGGGCGTGTGCTATTTCCCGGGTAATGACTGAGTATTTGGTCAGATTGAGATATGGCCAATAAAAAGTTGCAGTCCCTAACGTGTAGACTCGTTTACATAGCATTGTTGTATTTTGTGTTGCCAAACGTATTATCGTAGTATAGCCAGTTGTTTAAGGATGAGACCCAGGTTCGTGGGCGCTTATACTCAAACCTATATTTTACAGTAAAGATGGCATTTGAACACCTACATGATATATATTTTTAGTTAGCTCTGTGTGTGAATTGTGTGAAAATATTTGTTTTCCTCAAACTAGTGAAGTGTATGTGTGTTTCTCTCGAAAATAGGCTTTTTTGTTTTGTTTTCTCTCAAAACAGACGAACGGAAAACATACTGAATAGCCTTTCATCCTCGTTATATCTGTATAGAAAATCTACATATCATTAGGCTTATGTACAGTATTGCCGGATTTACAATAAAAAGAACGTTTTATCCCAAAATGTTAATCCATTATATAAAAAGGATCATATATAGGAATAAGATGTGTACTTATGACTGTCATGAATTATTCAAGATGTTCTGACGAATGATTTTTAATTTTTTTTATGAATGAAATGAAACATTCTTATACGAAACTCTCAGGACATATATTTTTCAGACAATTTTGTTCTCTAAAAATATCCCGTACTGGGTTAAAATACAACAACTTATAGTCAATTTGATTTTGATGTCGTATACATTGTGTAGCATTCCATAACCAGGTTACAGTATATAATCACTACTACATTGTAGAACTCCTATTGGCCTAGCCGCGTGTTGGCATGGTGCGAGATAACATACCGAATATGCGCCGAATCGAATATAAAAGTATATTACTTTGGTGGCGTCACATTCGCACACACAGAAAGAACACTATATTGGACGGGTACGGATGGTAGTAAAACAACAAATTCGTTTCCATCAGACATTTTAATTGTCGCAAAATCTTCGCGTCTTGGATATAAGGCTGGGAGCGCGTGAGTTGCATAGCGCAGTCGTCCGAGTCGCCCGTGTCACAACCTCTGTGTCCGTGAACTGTCACACATATATACTAATAGGTGTCACTATGATAACAAGAATGGGGTCATGATGACATTCTGATACAACATTCACATGAATTTTTTTTTATTATTTAATTATCGACATAGTTGCCCTCTAATTTATTTTAACGTGTCCCACCTGCCTCTATCTACTAGTATGCTTAATGTGATCGAATCGTTATATTTGTATCTGATGATCCAATAATGTCAGACGTACGGTTTTCATAAATAGTAAAATACCTATAATGATAGTTAATCTTATAATTATTAAATGCCAGTCTGGGTCTGACAATTGGTTTAGAGGACATATTTATTTGAAGTTTCAGGTCGGTGTCCGATTTGTGTCGATTTTGTTTGGTGATAGCAGATGTCGGTGGAGTCCGAGATATAATCGGGTGTCATCATCTGGTGTATATTTGCTTTGCCGATAGGACGGTGTCAAATAGCGCGGCGAACAACAATTACTGCAGTCATGGTTATATAAGTGCGCTGATTTCGCCCCGGGGTCATGTTTTTATTTTGGTGAAAACAGGATTTCCAACGTCAAATAATATGAAAGGCTCACGTCACAACTTGAATCATGAATTGGTTCGGCTCATATGCAACTGAGCCCTCTGTCGCCCGTTTCAAACTGTGAAATTTTGTACGTGACGTCTAAGCGTTGAAACAAAAGACATAAAGTCCTATTTATATAACGTGGCTGTTGACACATTGATCGGTGAAACGTACACATACCGTGACGTGTATTATTAAATATAATTATTAACGCATACACATTTACATTATTTTTTCACCCTAATGGGGACTAAAAATGGACAACAATCACTACACGTTGATTATATATGTTATACTATGTCTTCAGTCCGCGGTAACATGGCACCAAAACGTGTTTCGATTAGAGTCTATCGCGTGATTCCTGCATTGAAATGCTAGCATATTTGTCTTCAAAGATGTGTTCAACTGTTTCAAATAAAATATACGAAAGTCCGACATTTAATTAAGTATCTTAAACTATATTCGTCCCCCTTATTAATAACCCCAATTTTAATGAATTGTCTTTGGTGGTGTATGAGTATTGCACGATGGTAAAAGACGGCTAGTAAAAAAAACATCGTCTGCGAGTATAATTACATCACTTTCCCGCTACAGACCACTTTTGTGCATGGTCTGTAGGAGTGGCCGTCTTCTATCGATTTTTTTGTTGGCGGTCGGTGGATTTTTGTAATTATTTTTTTATTATGTCTACATTTAGGAATTATTAGTCAATGTATTGTAAGCGAATTGTGGGGATAATTGCGCCAGTCATCAGTGAATAGCAGAATGTGTGGATTTATTTGGAAAACGTCTAAGATCCAAATTATCACCACCAATGCCACGACGCGCTGTCATTAACCTTTTTGAAACGTTGCTAAAATTGGAAGACGCCCCACGCCATTTCATTGCCGCCTCAACAAGGCTGAATTTTCACGATGACTACGAGTTCACGGCCAACAACTTAGAAATACCTGACCGTCAGTAAAAATGTATGCATGTAACGCGAGTATTAAGAGCACTCTTCAAGATCAAATTGGCCGTGACTGTCAGTGAACTCAAGCAGTGGTGGCGCACTTTAATAAACGAAATGGCCTAATCGCAACTTGAATATTCAAAAGTAGAAACAAAATATCAAAATTGTCAAGCAATCGTAAAGACATAATTTAAATAAACTGTTGGCCTTCATTGATAGTTCGATGCGCCTCCAAAGGTTGACATACGCGAATTAATTAAATGTTGTTTAATCAGCACCTTGTCATGTAGAACTATCCTCAGTATCCAGCATTTGCTTGGCCGTCATTTACCACGTTGAAATCGAAAAATAAATACCAAATCAGACACTTTTAGTTTTTGAATATTAGAAAAAAGCTCATCTAGTATACGAATGTAAGAAAAAGGTTCCTGAACTCGTTTGGCCGTCACGGTCATTTAACAGAAATTCCAATTGCGCAATTGATTTTAGAAACATCTATTATTCAATTTTGAAAAATACTTAAATTTTCTATCCCACATATGATTGACATACCACTGATTAAACAAATCTTAAGTTTGTCTTGACCGTGACCGGCACTGGTGATTGATATTGATTGAAATGTTGTATTCTATTTTTTTTCATTCTTAAAATCAGTAAATTTATTACGTACAGTGGGTAACAAAAACACCGTGAAGATGATTTGACTCTAAAATAATAGTTATGTCACAATTGTTAAACACAAAATTTCGATAATCTTTTGACCCCAATCGGATAATCTAATGTACCTTATGTATTTTTATGTACTGCTATGTGTATGTAATTTTCATATAGTTTTTCAGTATGAGGCTTTTCTTCAGGTATGTTAAAACTATTGAAATTACAGAAACGTGCAACTCGTCTGATTCTTGATGTTTTTAAGATATCTTCATTGGTCTCCATTGTATCATCTTTTCATTTGTTTGCATAGCACCTCCATATATGAGAGAAATGATTACATATATTAGAGGTATACACACTATTAACACTAGATCAACAGTTGCCAACAATCTTTAGGTCAAGGCAGAACCTGGAACACACAACATACTTTTTTTTTAAAAAAAACAGCCTGACAATTCGAGGAGCATGTGTGTGGAATAGTTAGAAAAATAGACAACCGGATAAAGAAATACTTTCAAATTGATGCATTTTAACAATTTGCGATTGCATTTGTCAGTCATTTTCATTATTTTGTCTAGTTGTGTATTATTTTTTCTGAGAACCATAGAGAAAGATAAACGTAAACATACTATGTTACCCTCGTTAAACAACGTTTTGTTATTATTAGTACATTCACAGTATTTGCTGAAGTTTATGGAAATTGAATGAATTCAAATCGAGACACATTGCGTCTGTTTCATATTAAAACTGTTTGCCTGCGATAACAGTACAACGAGAGAAGTGTCCCTCTCTAAATTACCAAGTGATGCACTATGCTATCACGCCAGAAAAATATCCACAAAACGGCTTACGTATTGTTCCAGTCAGTTTTGCGTTTTTTAAACCTATTCCAGTTTGGAGTGTAGCGCCCTCACGTTAAATTTATTGTTTTCGATCCCACAATGCCTTATCACCGGATACAGCCGGATGAACTTGTTTGTTAGAGTTGTGATATTGGCGTGACGTTTATGCTGATTTAGTGAATATTTCCTCACACTGTTGCTGTAGGAAGCACTGTCAACAAAGTTTAAGTCATCATCGACTTAAGTAGAATGGATTTCGGTCGTGAGCATCAAGATCAGGGGCCTGGTTTTGTAGGCATCAAATTTTGCCAAGAGTGGTAAGCTACCGCACGTTTTTCATTCAATATTCGACAATGTTGTGTTGTAATATACAACCCTGCTTATATTAATGGAGTGAGGGGTGTCTCCTGAAAACGCAACAGTCAAAATACGTATAAAGTCATGTTTCACAGTTCGCTATGTTTGTCTTGTACGCGTTGATTTAGTAGTACCTTACTGTGCCGGTGCAAATGAATAGCAAAGCCATAAGAACATTTCTATTCTAACAGTTGTTAGCGATATGTATGGGTAACAAAAACTAAAAAGTAGGGCAGAGCTCCAGAAGGAGTACCTACACTTTATGCAAATTTTTTTAAAATTATGCTAATTTATTCATGACGTAGCAGTTTCTGTGCTCATGAATATTCATTAATTTGTGGCTCAATACATTTTAAAAGGGGCGATATATTATTTTTGGGGGAAGAGTTAGAAAGGGGGATTAGCAATCCTTAGGGGGGTCAATACAAAAGAAGGGACCCATTTGGAGAGCAGCCATGCTCCTCGTGTCTGTTGTTGCACGTGACCTACAGCTGTCAACTGTGTTCGTTCTTCGACTGTGTTCGTTCTTCGACGACTTCGGCTGGCTTCCACGTGGGGTAGTATTCTTGTGTTCTGTTTTCCTGACTTAAGTTTTTGAATCCGCTGTTTATGTTTTTAACGTCTTTCATGTCTTTTGTAGGAGTGTCCAATCCGTGATTCGAACTTGCGATCTTTTAGTTCCCAGCGCACTGTCTTGTCCACTGTACCACGAGTGTCTTCACACAGGAGTTAGGATTTAAGTCCTATTCATAGGAGCACTGTCTTCACTAG